TAACTCTTTAGCAGTTTCCAGTGCAAAGGCTTTAAATTTTTCGACATCAATCAGAAGACAATGCTTGCAAAATTATTGAACACCCCTCAGTTACATCCTTATCAATCCCAAACAACAAAAACATATTCTATGTCACTAGCACAATAGAACTGACAAAATTGCAGCGAAGTCACTTCAGTATATTGGACATAACATACACATCTGACAAAATCTGAAAGTTAAATTAGCACTTTTAGAATCGTAGGACCATTACTATTGGCGTGAGAAAAATCACATTGGAGGATTCAGGGGGGAAAACAATTAAAACTGAAATGAAATCCAATTTTATTTTCAAAATTAATCTTAAAGGTAACTCAGATCACTCACATCTCCTATATTATACACAACTACTAAACACACAAATTACTGCACTAAAAATAAGTCAATACCTTGCTTTTCAATAATAATGCCAAGATTTGTCGTTTTAAAATGTATTTAATTTTGTAATACAGTCCTATTTTCACTCCACTTTTGCACTTATCCCACTGAAAAAAAAACGAATGACTACATTTTCTCTTTTTTGATGCGATTCTCGAAGAGGGCCGTTAGAATGAAGTCGAGGTAATGTTTTCTAAAAAGCTTAACCCCTTAAGAGTTCAGGTGTACACATTTCACAATGAATATCTGATTTTAATTTTTTGAATTTTGGCCAATGGCGGCGACCACTGTGCACTGGAAAGTAAGAAAATTCTTAGAAAAGTCCCTACAAAAATTGCAAAACTGAAATTAATTGTTAATGGAATTGAATTTTGTGGATATGGAATTTTGTGTAGAATAGTTTCAGAATGCCTTTTGGAAATGAAAATTCTTATTGAAAAAAAGAGAAATTTTGCACATTTCTTTACATGCCGTTATATGGTTGCCATACCAACATTTTCAGTTTTGATTAAAAAATACTTTTCGAAGCATCAAAACATTTAAAAGCTCAACGTGCTCTTAAACAGTTAATGCCGGTACTGATTTCACAATACTCAAAACATTAAATGTCAAATTACAGTTCATTCGGTAGAAATTGTAACAAAAACATGCCATAATGTAATTGACAAAGATTTCTAATATCGGAAATCATGTGTTGTTGAAGGAAGCAAAAATATATAAATGTAAAAAATATATAAATTAATTATAAATATAACAGCAAAAGCAACGAAATTCCAGCGATCATATAAAAGTATAATAGAGTTGCTTTTGTTTTGTCCACGCCAAAATCGGGTTAATTGACTTTACCATACATTATTTTTATATAAAAATGAATTATGGTTTTTTGTTTTAAGTTTTTAAAAAGTGAGTCAAGTGCCTAATTTAAAACTAAAAAAAAATCTATTTTTCTTAAAATTTACAGAGCATTCATTCTCCTTGTAATTTCCGAGAAATTTTATATATATATATATATATATATATATATATATATATATATATATATATATATATATATATATATATATATATATAGATATATATAGATTTTCCAAAATTTCCATAGGCTATATACATTTTTGATTTTCCACTTGGAACTGGAAATATAGCAGAAGAATCGGAGGTACCTCCCAAAAATTTAGATTTTATATGCACATATCTATTGATTGGTTGAAGATACAGTCTCCAAATTTGGAATACGTAACGGAATTTGGAACAAAAATAAGTTTGCCAAATTATATTGTAATCGGTTCAGATTTGGATATAGCTCCCATATATATTTTCGACCGATTTCGTTCATTTGATGCCTCAAACACAATATGAATGTTCGATTCCAATGAAATTTGGAATGTGTGACGGGATTTGAAATTTGTCAAATTATATTGAAATCGGTTCAGATTTCGATATAGCTCCCATATATATTTTCGGCCGATTAAAGCATTTGATGCACCAACCACGCTATGTTTCCTCAATTTCAATGAAATTTGAAACGTGTGATAGATTTTATCTAAAAAAATCGATTTCCCAAATTATATTGAAATCGGTTCAGATTTGGATATAGCTCCCATATACATTTTAGGCCGATTTCATATATTTGGTGGACCAAACACGATATGTATTTCCAATTGTAATGAAATTTAAAATAAGTAACGGAATTGGGAGCCACAATGAATTTGTCAAATTAAATTGAAATCGGTTCAGATTTGGATATAGCTCCCATATATATTTTCGACCGATTTCATGTATTTGATGCACCAAACACGCTATGTATCTCTAATTTCAATGAAATTTGGAATGTGTATCGGAAATTAAAACGAATATACATATGTCAAATTATATTAAAATCGGTTCAGATTTGGATATAGCTCTCATATATATTTTCGACCGATTTCATGTATTTTATGCACCATACACGATATGTATGTTCGATTCCAAAGAAATTTAGAATATGTAACGGGATTTTGATTAGAAAATAAATTAGTGAAATTATATTAAAATCGGTTTAGATTTGGATATAGCTCCCATATATATTTTCCGCCGATTTCACATATTTGATGCACAAAACACGATACGTATTTCCGATTCCAATGAAATTTGGCATGAGTGGCTAAATGTGGTACAAAAATAAATTTGACAAATTATATGCAAATAGGCTCAGATTTGATTATAGCTCCCATACATATACTCAGCCGATTTCACATATTTGATGCACCCAAAGCGAGAGAGACAAAATCTGGCACCAAAAAAAATTGCCAAATTATATTGAAATAAGTTGAGGTTTGGGTATAGCTAACATATATATTTCGGCCGATTTCATACATGTTATGCACCAAACATGATATATATGACCGATACAAATGAAATTCAAAATGTGTGGCGGAATTTGGTTACAATAATAAATGTGACAAATTAATTGGAAATTAGTTATGATTTGGATATAGCTCCCATATATATATGTTATCGCCCGATTTCACATGTTTGACGCACCAATTTCAATGAAATATGAAAGGTGTGGCGGAATTTGGTGTAAAAGTAATTTTTTTAAAATTATATTTAAACCGGATCAGATTGGGATATGATTTTAATAAGAATCATTGACCCACAACGCCTTAGGCTAACACTAAAAAACAAAACAACAATTGATTTGAAATACGCTTATTACGGCGAAGTATGTTGCTATCTCGAATTCACTAATTGCAATAGAAATGCAATGAAATAAATAAATCCGGAGGACAAACCCTTCGTGTATGTCATGTTACTGCTTTTCTAATGGTTTTGGTTATTTACGCATTAAAGTAGTGCAATATATATTTTTTTTAACTAATTAGTTAAAAAACAAATTTAATTTTTAAATTTGTTTTTTCTTCAACCAACATATATTCGTAAATAAAATTTTGAATGCATATAAAATCAAAAGGGGCAGCGAAGCGCATCGGGCTCAGCTAGTATATATATATATGTACATATATATATATATATATATATATATATATATATATATATATATATATATATATATATATATATATATATATATATATATATATATATATTTCTATGCACTTGGGCCTATCCATGAAATAAAGGAAGTTATGGATCGGTTTGTCTACAAAGATGTGTTGAACATCACGTTGTTCCTTTCCGCTGAGAAAATATTCGGCTTATTTGGGCGTTTCAGCATGACAATGATCCCAAACATGCATCAAAACTTGTGAAAGATTGATTGCGGGAGTCAAAAATTGATGTTTTGTCATGGCCGGCACAATCATCTGACCTAAACTCCATAGAAAACCTTTAGAGTATCATAGACAGGAAGATCAAGCTAGACTTGGAAAGAAATAAACACAACACTTTCCAAAGAATTTAGGGTGCCTGGAAAAGCATACCCAAGGATCAGATTCAATGCCTCGTAAGGGTGCTGCTGCTATCAAAAATAATGGATGCTACTACCCAAATTTTATCACATATATATATATATTCAAATCTCTTTTCTATACAAAAGTGACTATGAGGTGAGCATAAAGTATAGCTTAACATAAATCTCGCAGATCCCGTAATGGAGTTTTTTTCGACTTATTTTTTTTAAAAATAAATTTGATATAACTCCCGAACCGTATAACTCCCACTTGTTGGATAGGTATTTTAATTTGCTTTCCAATCATCATACCATATTGTCCAAATCCGAATCTAACACGAGTCAAATATCAGGGAATCCGGGTCCGTCCCTCAAGAGAAAAGGCTTAACTCTAGTTTAGTAAAAACTATTAAATTTTATTGAAATTTTTCCAGTGGTAAATATTTTTACACTCTTTCGGGAAAAATATTTTACTTGGGGCGGGCCCGAACCCCAGATTTTTGACCCGAAAGTCAGAATTCAAGACCTCTTATCCGAAATATACAATATAGGTATCGTTGGTAAGCTTATAAAAAACGTATCCAACAATTTGTCACTTGGTGGGGTTCTTTCAATCATGCTAATAAGCTTTCAAACGATACCTATATTGTCTATATGGGGTAAATGGATCCGGGTCTTAAACCCGGACTTTCGGGTCCTCGGTCCGAAATTCCGGGATCAAGGTAAAAAAACCTACCATTGAAAAAATGCATATGCTAGTGCATGTTATTTATTGAAATGAGGGCAAAAAATCACAGAGCCGCTATTTAACTAGTTATTCTAGCGTCGTTAGTTCCAATAAATTCTGGAATTTCCTAAACTGCTATGGTGTTTAAACTCTCAACTTGATTGATATTCGCTTTTACATCCAATTTGTTACATCTTTAGTTATGGGTTTAAGGGGCATTACTTTGTCTGCTAATGAAATTATGGTAGTCAGGTTGTACCATTTTGGAGTTTAGTGAAGTCAAGCGGTTGTATGCTCACACTACCTGAATATGTGTGCTGCGGCGTTCAAGAATGTTAACCGAATTTGTATGTATTTCAAACAAGTACACAGATACATATGTATACACAAATGTGATGTTGCAAATCATCTTTTTACACATATTTATTGACAAATATTCTGTGGATAGATTGTGTTTGATCTTACCTTCGATTTAGATTTCATTTTGTACTATATGTACACATTTCGGATTGTCAGAGTATATACTGTTTTTATATCGCGACATTTTTATGTTGCACTTTTTCCGCACTTTTTGTTTTTTTCTTATGCACCACTGTACTGTCTTTAAATGTGTTTCACATATCGAACAAACACGGTATATACATATAACTGTCTGATTACACTTTTTTAACATTCTTTTGCAGTTGGGAAGGAGTAAAAAATAATTTTATTCAATATCTGCATACATATATGTGTATCATATATAGTATGTATAGCCAAGTTTGCGACAGTGCCTTACCTTCTTCGCAGATCTACAGCAATTATGGCACCAGACTTAAAAAAGATGAACGATGCAGAAGTTTGAAGATTAATGTTGATCTTCAACTGCTTTACATTAAATGTTATGATACTATTCCAAAAAATTTGTATTAGGGATTCTTCCAAGTTGCAAGCCTGTTTTCTCCACAAAAAATGTTGGCGAAAATTGTCGAAGTCAATAGGCTGCTTGCATAGTTGATAAAACAGTAGCAAGTATACTCACTCATAAACAATGCAACCAAGTTTTTACTTTTATAGATGCACAAGCCCAAACTACTGCTTCATATATTTAACAATTGTGAATTAAATCTTCGGTCATGTTACAAGCACTGTGTTCCAGTAGTTTTTTACCCGGCCTTTACACTTGAACATAATTTGCATGACAATTGAATATTAAAGTTTAAAATTACTAGTTATTTAAGTATATGATACAAAAAGAATGTATAACTTTTTCTCAATGACTAAATGCAACAAAAACAATACGTTTCTCAATTATTTATATTTCTCTTCATTTTAAAAATAAACTAAAAATCTTGAAAAAAATAAATGATGTGCCTAAGTTTCATTTGAAATATATTATGCTAAGTTCACATGGCACCCGATTCGCTCTCTATTCGTTGTTTTACCATTAATTATGAAATATCTACTTGATTCCCACAAACACAGCATTTTCTGAGCGAACAAAGATTTTCGTCCTTTGTTCCATTCAAATCACTCTCAAAACTACGATGAAATGTGTGCCATCCATAACAAATGAGGGCATTTATCAAAAAAATAAATTATGACACTTCAAAATTCAAAATAGAAAAATTTAATGAAATTTTAAAAGTTTTTAGGAAGTCAGAAAATTGTGACGGAAAGATATAATGTTGAACGGCGTATATGCATTCAAACGAATATAAATTATGTTTACTCTTTCATCCGAGGTACGCTTTTTGTTCACGAGTTGGAATTTCCACAGAAAACTGGAAACAAAACAGGGAAATATTTTCCACAAAAATTTTTTTTCACAATTGACTCTCCAACCCAAGCAGGAGAAAATAACAAGTACGCAAATAGGTTTGTTATAGTGTTAACAACAACAAGTGCATGTCCCTCTCTCACATGGAAGAGAGAAATGTAAGTGAGAACGGGCAAAACGTATACCTTAAGCATAGACAAATTAAGGTATAGGCTAAAAAGTTGTCTCATCTGTTATTTTCGAAAAAAGTGATTCAATAGATGTCGTTCATGCTGTAAGAGAGGGTCAGTAGACTCACTCAATTCTCTCAAAATACAAAATATTGAATATTTTTATGGTTCATTATTATTTATCAATTAAAAAAGAAACAGTGACTTTGTTTACATTGATATTATACAACTATGTCGTGAAATATAAAAATATAGAACTTAAATAGCAGAAAAATGAATAAAATGTTTTCGAAGTCGAGTGACTTCACTAGCCCTGAGTGACTTGACTGGCCCAAGATCAACAATAGTGACATCTGCCGGAAGGGGTAAATTTGAAAACTTTTTAGTCTATACCTTTATTTGTCTATGCCTTAAGTTGACGTCGACAGATTTCAGTTCAACTTCGCCAAAACGCCACGAAATCTGGTGTCTTACAGCCAAATCCCAAAGCCGTTCTAAGTCGGCATCGCCGAGAGTTATTTATGACAACAATTTGTCAGGTGAGACTACTCTTGAAAAAAAAAAATACCAAGCAAAACAAAGTTCCTTGAGGTAAGGACCGTTATGTCTTAGTATCGAAGCGAAAGGCTAGTTCTACTTGTGGCGACCTCCACAAATAATCCGAATGTCCACATCCCAAAACTGACCCAAACGTAAAAAAGTGCAGCGATTGCGGTGGAAACCATACTGCAAACTCCAGAGGTTGTCCTGTATATATCCACTTAAAAAAATCTACCTTAGCCACAAAAAATGCGGCAAAATGCCGCGCACGGGAAAACCCACAATTTAATATGAAAACAGCTGATTTCCCTGAGCTAAATAAGAGGAAAGAAACCACCGCTCCCAATTACAATTTCCCTCCACATAATATGCAATACTTATATTCTGATACTTTGAGAAATGACTCACCCAAACATAAAAATCCAAATATAGAATCTAATCGACACTATGAATTCTTTCATGACAAGCATGCAAAGCATGATGCAACAAATTATGAGAAATCAGTATATGCTAATGCAAATAGTTTTAAAACAAACATAGATAAAATTCGAATCTGTTTTTGGAACGCAAACGGCTTAAGCCAACTCAATTCGATCACTCAACATACAAATCTTACTGGTATCTGAAACTCATTTTATTTGTAGAATCTGTTTAGAATAAAGGGTTACAGTACATACGACACTAAACACCCTAGGGGAAGAACTTGCAGTGGCACCGCGGAAATAATTTCTAATAAAACTCAACATTACCCCATGTCAAAATATAACTTTGACATACAAACTACAACAGTTGCACTATCTTCAAGAAAATATCCAACGGAGGTCAAATTGTATATAAGCGTCAGTCTTCTATCTATACTCTCAAAGTTGTTCGAAACAACATTATTAAGAAAGTTAACTCCCCATATTACATCTAGCAATAGTATCCCCAACCACCAATTCGGCTTCCGTAAGAACCACAGTGCACCGCATTGTCTCAAACATTAGAATGGAATACTGTTCCGCGTTATTTATAGACATTTCCCAAGCCTTTGACAGTACGTGATGTTTACCGCCGATATGCCCACAACCAATGAAACTCTTACCATAACGTTTGCTGATGATACTGTTTTCATTAGCATACACAAGGTTCCTATAAGACGCGAACTTTGCCCCACAATAAAAATCTTCAATACTCAAGTATATAAAATATCTCGGAATGCACCTGGACCGAAGATTTACATGGAAGCAACACATCCACGCAAATTGAACTAAAAAAGGCCAATCTTGACTGGTTAGTTGGTATACGTTCTTCTATTAAATTATAATACAAAGTCCTATTATATAAGACTGTAATAAAGCCAATTTGGACTTATGGCATACAGCTCTGAGCACAGGTAGTGCCTCTAACGTAAGTAAGCTACAAAGAAGACAATTGAACATTCTTCGATCTATTAAAGGTGAACCTTGGTACATAAGAAACGCAAACATCCACAAGGACCTTAACATGCTTACCGCTGAAGAGGAAATGGAGAATTTTTGCCGAAAATACTTGAGCAAACTATCATTGCAACCAAATAGCTTGGCCTGCCAACTCCTATTATTCGGAAGACATTATAGATTTCGAAGACGTGACACCCTTTCTATCGCATAGTTTATGCTTGTCTTACTCTCTCACTATTTTCAGCTCTTGTCTGATCAATTGAACGTTTTTCGCAGCCCACTGTTACACTCCTACAGGTAATCGATAAGACTATTACTTAGTCCGCGAGATGGTTAGATATAACTGTATCTAAACAAAGCAACATTATATCCGTAAGACTATTTCTGTAGTCCCCGAATTACTTAGATATAAATGTATATAAACTAATCTGAATTACCTACTCAATTAATTCACGGATATAACTGTAGCCCACAAAACACACATCTATTAAAAAATTAAATAATATGAAAAAATAACATGAAAAAATATAGGGTAATTGTATTGACAACCCTCCTATAAAAAACAGTAGTATGTAAGATATGAAAACTTATTGTTATTTTCATCAAATTGTATGAAAGATTCAAATATTAAAAAAAGATTAAGGAAGAAAAAAGTATTGTTTCCCAGGTAGTATGGTCGAGAATACCATGGTTTCGGTTATTTCCCCAGGAGTTATTTATATTTGATTTGGATCAGCAGCACTTCACTCGGAGACATTGTGTTTATTCATAGAAAAATAAAATTGTTGGTCGAAACAGTAGCCAGGAAGCTTTGTTCTTTTTCTGGCTTCAGTTTTGACCAACTGCATAGAGAAGAATAGTTAGCAAGGTGGTTTGCCAACCAGGGAATACTTCAGCGATACTGTTACGATATTGCAGAGTTCTTTTATCGTTGCAAATTCTCCGCCTAAAAACGCTACAAATGTTAATAAGCTTGTATGACTTTTTAATGATTGGGTTAAGGCATAATAGGTGTAGGTGCTTACACCTTCAAGATGGATGAAACCTGATGGAACCTGTTTAAATGGCCGTATCGCTACCTTAATTTCATTCAAGACGAAAAGTGATATTGTGGCCAAACCGCGAAGATTGCCATTCTCCAGCTCCCCGTTGTCTCGGCGCATCCCTTGCTACCTGAAACTGGGTCAAAGTATCCTGCGCCTGGTAATTTAGATTCAACCTCAGTGCGAATTGAGGAATTCTCTTAAGAGTCCAGTTGTAAATGAGGGCACGGTTCTCTGCTCTGTAGTTAATTTGGACATGCGCTCACTGGACTCAATAAATAGATCAAAATAGGTAAGACCACTGTGACATACATCCAGTGTACGACTTGTGGCCTGAGCCCATATAGCACTCCTGAACGATGTCCCTGTATGTCGGTTGACGGTTGACATTCTTGTGATGTTTTAAATCAAAGTTTGCAAAATAAAAACTCCTTATTCCAAAAAAAAAAAAAAAAAACGAGAGCACGAAAGAGAGGACAAAACAAAGTAATAAACACAAAAATTAGAATTCTAGCTTACAAACATCAAAAGATGTTTATTTAGTAAATGGCATCAACAAACTAAAGGAATCCAACAATTGTACAGTCCCAATGTGTTAGTCGAAGTTAGACTTTCACGCAATAATGATATTGATAAATGGCAGGAATCTCTTTCGTACAGAATGATTAAATAATCCCCTCTACTTGTAAAAATGGACATTTTCCAAATCTATTTCTTCTTAATTTTTCTTTTTATCCTCTTGTCCCCAAGCAGGAGAAATTAACAAATACATTAATCGGTTTATTACAACAACAAGTGTATATGCCACTCTATCATGGTAGAAGAATACAGGTAGACCAATTGACACAGCTGCTGGGACAATGAACTGTCAAACCAATTTTGAATGACATTTTTTTCAAATTTGTAAAAATTATTGAAAAACATATATTATAATAACCTATTATAATCTATATATATAAAAATCAATTGTTGTTTGTTGTTAACGGAATCAGTTGAAAACGGCTGGACCGATTTGCATAATTTTTTGTACAAACGTTCGTCATACCCCGAGTTAGGTTTTTAAAGAAAAAAAAAA